AAGGTAATGAGTTTTTTACAAGTTGCTTTAATTTGGTGAAGATCTTTCTTCATTCTGATTCATTGAGAGCTTTTATCCATATCCTTAAATTTAGTAAAATTATGGCAATTGGCATAACAAAATATCATTCTGAGTCGGTTTAAGGACCAGACAGCTAATATAGTTTGGTCGTTAAGCGCTTGGTGAATCTTCCTTGGTGGAGATGCATACTGGGATCTGATTGGTGATAAAGTCGGTTGAGTCTTGATTGGTGGAGATGACATTGGAATATTATTTAGTCATAACACGCTCGTAAATGACTTCAAGGTCTGAGTGTTGGAGTCTCACATCGACTAGGCACGCTCAAGCCTATTGGGTTATAAGAGAGGGTAATCCTCCCATTCAACAAGGTCTTATTGGGTGAGGAGTCAAGGCCACCTTAAATTCTAACGTGATATCAGAGCCCAGGTTCAGTTGAGCTAAGTACTTGACCAGCGGGTGAGGAGTTAGAGCCAGCAACTACCTCCATCAATAAACATGACCCAACATATGGGCTTGATCGTGAGGGGGAGTGTTGGAGTCCCACACTGACTAAGCACGCTCAAGCCTATTGGTTTATAAGAGGGGGTAATCCTCCGATTCAAAAAGACCTTATTGGGTGAGGAGTCAAGCCCATCTCAAATTCTATCATGGTATCAAAGCCTAGGTTCAGTTGAGCTGAGCACTTGACCAGCGGGGGAGGAGTTAAAGCCAGCAACTACCTCCAATAATAAGCATGACCTAACATATGGGCTTGACCGTGAGGGGAAATGTTGGAGTCCCACATCGACTAGGCACGCTCAAGCCTATTTGGTTATAAGAGGGGGTAATCCTCTCATTCATGAAGGCCTTATTGAGTGAGGAGTCAGGCCCACCTCAAATTCTAACATGGTATCAGAGCCCAGGTTCAGTTGAGCTGAGTGCTTGACCAGCGGGTGAAGAATTAGAGCCAGCAACTACCTTCATCAACAGGCATGACCCAACATATGGGCTTGACCGTGAGGGGAAGTGTTGGAGTCCCACACCGACTAGGCACGCTCAAGCTTACTGGTTTATAAGAGGGGGTAATCCTCCCATTCAAAAAAGCCTTATTGGGTGAGAAGTCAAGCTCACCTCAAATTCTATCATAGTATCAGAGCCCAGGTTCAGTTGAGCTGAGCACTTGACCAGCGGGAGAGCCAACAACTACCTCCAATAACAAGTATGACCTAAGATATGAGCTTGACCGTGAGGGGTAGTGTTGGAGTCCCACATCGACTAAGCACGCTGAAGCTTATTGGGTTATAAGAAGGGGTAATCCTCTCATTCAACAAGGCTTTATTGGGTGAGAAGTCAGACCCACCTCAAATTCTAACATGGTATCAGAGCCCAGGTTCAGTTGAGCTGGGTGCTTGACTAACGGGTGAGGAGTTAGAGTCAATAACTACCTCCATCAACAGGCATGACCCAACGTATGGGCTTGACCGTGAGAGGGAGTGTGGGCTTGACCGTGAGGGGTAGTGTTGGAGTCCCACACCGACTAGGCACGCTCAAACCTACTGGTTTATAAGAGAGGGTAAGCCTCCCATTCAAAAATGTTTTATTGGGTGAGGAGTCAAGCCCACCTCAAATTCTATCACTGAGTTGGAAGGAAGACGGACTTCTTCATGATCTGGATCATATACTCTTCATTGAGGAAGAAAACAAACGGGTTGTTATAATGAAGATATCGAAATATTCTTGAAGAAACTTCGCAGCAATATCATAATTTTATCTTCTTGTAACACTTATTCAAAATTACTGTGAAACTCATGAATTCTCAAGTACTTAGTCTAACAGTAAATATACTTTAAACTTGTATCGGCCAATCATAAAGGTTTCAAATGTTGACTAACATTCACTTTATTATGGAGACGAAAATTACAGAGATGAACTTTACAATTAAATATGAGATGGGAGGATGACTGATTCCATTTTGAGCGTAATAAAAAATGTAAGTGTGCTGTTTTATTGGGGAATGGCTCTGAATAAAGAACCATATATATGTTGGCGTTCGACATAAGTAAAGGTTTGTCGTTGAAAATTATAGCGGTTATTACTAACAAATAGCATTGAATTTTTTGTTCTTGGAAAATGATATATTTAGAAGCTATAGGGTTCAATCAAAGACTGACTTCTCAGTGTTTTCACAGGGAAGAAACCAAATGGAGTGTTGTAGTAGATAGAGCACGAAGATGATAAGGAAATACGTCATAATATTAATCGACCCCCAGAAGAAGAAAAAGAAAATTAATGAAGATGGTGTTTAATATTAATTCAGTCTCGGGTTGTTTTCCTTCTATAGGTGGAATTTACTTATCATAAAGAGATTTGTTATTTAGCTAAACACAGACGGATTACGGCTTAACACACAGAGTCAAAAGTAGAAAATCTGACGTTGTTTTGAATGTACAGTCAGTCATCTTATCTTGTTCTTTGACATAGGCATAAAGGTTAAAGATGGTTGGAAAATGTCTAACGTTTAAGTTCATGCATTTGGAATACTTTTAACATCAATAATATTTTGACTTCACCGTATTTCACAATATCATCTTCTGTGAAAATTTAGAAAGAAGTGAAAAATTTTGAGAAGAAGAATGCTCTGTTATTACTTGTTTTGCTAACTGTTACAGAGAAGGTTAACTCACTTTTATATGAAGAGGTGAGTGAGTGAACGAGAGAGAGAGAGCGAAGAGAGTAAACAAAGAGGAAAGTAAAGAGAGAAACGACACCGTTTCTCCTTTTTACACTTAAATGAAAAATTCAACCTTGGTCAACATGCTCCCTCAAACCAAACTACTATGTTTCTAACTTCTCATGCTATTGCAACATATAACAACATTTCTTCACAATCTGCCAAAAAATATCTGCAATGTAAAAAAATCTGCTACATGTTATCTGAAACAATCCTTCTGCATTTTAACTGCTGCCTTTTAGTTGCTACTGCAGAAAACTGCTGCTTTTTAGTTGCTACTGCAGAAAATTCATTCTGCTGTTTTTAGTTGCTACTGCAGAAACTGCTGCTTTTTAGTTGCTACTGCAGAAAATTCATTCTGCTAATCTGCTAAATTCATTCTGCTGTTTTTAGTTGCTACTGCAGAAACTGCTGCTTTTTAGTTGCTACTGCAGAAAATTCATTCTGCTAATCTGCTAAATTCATTCTGCTGTTTTTAGTTGCTGCTGCAGAAACTGCTGCTTTTAGTTGCTACTGCAGAAAATTCATTCTGCTAATCTGCTGTACAGTAACTGAAACAACCTTTCTCTGATTCACATTCTTCACTAGCTGATCAAGAGATTTACCCCTTCTTCGGATTCAGATTAAAAACAATGTTGTTATATGTTGCAATAGCATGAGAAGTTAGAAACATAGTAGTTTGGTTTGAGGGAGCATGTTGACCAAGGTTAATTTTTCATTTAAGTGTAAAAAGGAGAAACGGTGTCGTTTCTCTCTTTACTTTCCTCTTTGTTTGCTTTCTTCACTCTCTCTCTCTCGTTCACTCACTCACCTCTTCATATAAAAGTGAGTTAACCTTCTCTGTAACAGTTAGCAAAACAAGTAATAACAGAGCATTCTTCTTCTCAAAATTTTTCACTTCTTTCTAAATTTTCACATGGTGTCAGAGCCCTAGACTAACGTCAATGGCCAAATCGTCTGAATCAAATCAATTTGTGATCAATACGCAGCAGATGTCTCAAAGTTCCAGTCACAATTTCACCTCAGCTTTTCCTTCGAGTCTTCAAGTCATAAGCCCCAAATTGACTCACAACAATTACATAGATAACTACCGATTTTGGAAGTTCCAAGTAATTTCAGCTGTTGGAGCTCATGAATTAGAAGATCATCTCATAGGTTTGATTTCTTGTCCTTCTCCTTTAATCAGTGTTGAAGATAAGGTTGTTAGTGAATCAGGAGAAGTTAGTTCGAAAGATACCTTGGTTAAAGAAATAGTAAATCCAGATTATGTTGCATGGAAAAGGACTGATAAGTTTCTGGTAACCTGGTTGTTAGCCTCAATTTATGAGTGCATGTTTTCGTATGTATCAAAGTGTCAGTCTTCAACTGCTATTTGGTTAACACTTGAGAATGAATTCTTGAATGATTCAAAAGCAAGAGCTCTGCATCTGAAAAATTTACTGCAAAATACGCAAAAAGGAAACCTAAGTGTTAGTGAATACATTAAGAAAATGAAAGGGATAGCTGAAAATTTGTCAGCCAGTGGGCAACTAATTCCTGATGAAGATTTGCTCCAATATATTCTTGATGGTCTAGGACCAGAGTTTGATGCTGTCGTAGTTAACTTGACATCCCGGATTGAGTCCAAAGTTTGATTCAGTTACTCTTCAGAAAGCACAGTACTTACTTCAAAAGTTTGAGATGAGAATTGAAAAGTTTAATTCTATTGATTTTCAAAGCTCTGTTCATCTTGCTTCCATTAGTAATCCAGGACAACAACTGATCAGTCCAGATGTTGCTTACAATCCAACACCGTTTCTCCTTTTTACACTTGAATGAAAAATTCAACCTTGGTCAACAATCTTCTTGTGAAAAATTCATTTATTTTCAAAATATTGTTCCTTCTAATTAGATTGGTCAGCTTCTTTATGTATCGTTCTGTGCTGATTGAGATTCATATATATATATATATCATGCATGCAGCACACGCAAACACATACTGCTTCGGTCGATCGATTTTGATCTGACAACAAAGTTTCATTTTGAGCATGTCCATGTAATGGTGGTTTTTCAAAACCATGGACGAGCTATATATTCAAGTCTTTGTTCATGCATAATTTAAACTAATCTATAGTATTGTAAATTATCAGAAACTTCACCTTAATAGAATATAGAATAGTTGCTATTTTAGTAGAATATAATATGTACACTTTTTTGAATGGGTACCTATTGTATACATTATTTACACTTAAGAAACGACTATTTACACTTAAGAAACGACTTCTCTTAACTACTTCCAACGAGTCTGAAGTTCCCGGTTTCTGATGACAGTGTTAAGCATAGGAGCACTTTCCCCTTCACTGAAACTCTCCAGTGAACAAACTTCCCAACCCCCGTCTCTCCAGTAAGTTGTATACACTTCAGGAATGTGTGCAACTCTCCAATAATCTTCACCTTCTTCATCTGGGCAAATCGTCTTCAGCAATTTATGCGGCATGTCAAAAAACTCTAGCAGTTTCAACTCAACTCAGATGCTCAATTCCCAGCGGCACCATCTGTAGTGACTTACACCGCTGAATGCTAAGCTTTTCAATGCACGGCATTGCCCCCTCCTGTATTTCAACAAATCTCAGCTCATCAAACTTGTCCAAACCCAGTTGCTTCAGCTTCTTGAACCCACCAGCCATGAAGCAGAGCGTGTCTCCATCGTATACTTGAAGCAGTTCGAGGTGAACAAGATTTGGAAGATTTTGCAGAAACACCAGCGGATCTTCCTTCAATCTGCTCCATTTTAGATAGACTTTCACCAGGCTATGAGCGTAAGCTATCCAATGAGGTAAACTCTCCAGCCGTCCTCTCAAGTAGATTCTTTGAAGGAACTGAGGTGGATGGTAAAGGTGCTGAAGATCAAGACTCTCGTTCTCTTGTGTCGAAATTATTGACAATGCGCGAAGGTTCGTCAGATGTTCGATAGACGAACACAGCGTTTTCCCATCTTGTTTTCTCAACTTTAGAACGCCGAGTCTTCTAAGTTGAGTTAACTTGCCAAGCTCTTGCAGTGTCTCAACATGGTTTGCCTCAATAAAACACAGCTTCTGTAAAGATTGAAGAAAACCAATCTTCTCTAAACTTTTAAATCCATATTTAGAATGAGTATAAGACTCGTATTCATATCGGTAAACCATCAGATGGCGAAGCTTTTTGAGGTTGAGTATCTCAGCAGGCAATTCAGTGACATAGGCATGTTTAAGATCTAATGTCTCCAGGTTCTGAAGCTTCCCAATGAATCTTGGAATCGTTTTCACCTTGGTGTTTCTCAAGCTTAGGTACTTCAAATAATACAAGCCAACAACTTCAATGGGAAATTTTGTGATTGGTGTGCCTCGCATATCCAGGGCGCCAAGGAGCTTAAACCCACTTGGAAAAAGTGAATGCAAGCATGGCTTTTCCACGATCCCAAACATGAATAGAGACCGCAATTGGCAAGGGCTAACACACGTGTTTGGCTGAATATTTTGCAGTGTATTGTGTACTGCTAACCGTCGAATTCTGTCTGGCCATATTGCGTTCTGATTGATGTGTTCTTTAGCTATGGCTGCAATGTTGTGCTCTCTGGACTTTGATATAATGATTTCCCTCAGAAGGTCGTGGATTCTACAAGCCATTACTCTTCCATCACTTCTTGTTCCAGCCACTTGCATCAGGCTTCTGTTCAAGAGGTCGCTGAAGTACTCCCCCGCAACTTCTTCCAGTGTCTTTCCTTCTTTCGCTTCAACGAATCCTTCTGCCGTCCACAACCGAACCAGTCTCATGGGTTCGATTAAATGATCCTCCGGAAAGATACTCAAGTACAGAAAACATGCTTTCAAATGGCATGGCAAATCATTGAAGCTAAGTGAAAGCACTTTCTTCAAATTCTTGAGTTTGTCATTGCCTTCAATCTCAGCACCAAGACTCCGACGAACTATTTCCCATTCATCAATCCTCCGCCTGTCTTTCGCAGCCAAAACCCCACCAATCGCCACTATCGCAAGAGGAAGTCCTTCACATTTCTTCAAAATACACCTACAAATTTCTTCCAGGTGTGGAGGACAAGCGTTTCCATGAAACGTTTTGGTGCAAAAAAGAATCCAGGACTCTTCAGGAGGCAGTGGCTGCATATTATAGACCTGACCTTCGGATTCTATCCGAGAAGTGAAGGCTAAATCAGCCTTACGCGTAGTGAGCATCACTCGGCTGCCACAATTGTTGGTAGGCAAAGCATATTTCACTCCATCCCAGTCATTTATATGCCACACATCGTCAAGAACAATCAAATACCTCCTTTCCTGAAGGAAATCCTTTATTATTTTCTTCAACCCATCACTGCTCATCGTCTCCACAGCCTTCGGAACCGATTTCCTAATCGCTCGAAAAAGCTGCTGAAGCATATCTCTAAGAAGCTCCTCCGTCTGGAAGTTTCTTGAAACAGTGATCCAAGCATGGATAGTGAAGTGTTTTTTCACTTGTCTATCGTCATAGACTTGTTTTGCCAGAGTTGTCTTGCCCAACCCTCCCATCCCCGCCAGTGAAACCACTTGGCGGCCTAAGCCACCCCCCACTAGCAACTGAGCCACCTTCTCTTTAGGCCCATCAATGCCAACCAAGTCAGTCTCGTCCAAAAGAAGGGCGTCCCCGCGACGGTCATTCCATGTATTCGTCGAGCTCGAACCAGCCTGTTCAGCTGCTCGGAATTTCTGACGGAGTCTGATGTGTCCCTCGTAAATACTTCTGATTCTCGAGTTGATTCCCTGGATTTCATACCCTATCCGATAACGAGCCTTCATGTTCTTAATACAACACGAAAGCTTGTGCAGAAAACCGTAAAAACCATCACCGTGATTGTGAGCAAGAAGAAGAGAGAACTCATCTAGAACATCTTCGATATCGTGAGCTACATCTCTGATTTGTTTCACCCATACTTTAACTTCTTCGTCAGTTTCATCTAAACGGTCAAAAATTCTCAAGAAAACCTTCATGCGCTCCAGTTCGGCTCTCACGTAAACAACTTCTTCACGACCACCACTTATCAGTTGCACCTCATTTGCGAAGAATGGTGTAAGCTTATCGAGTACAAACATAACAGCTGTTTCTGCCATGAGAAGGGGCAGTAAAAGTAGCTGTAAATTGTTGTTTGAAAGAAAAGTAAATGTAAATTGTGGTTTCAAAGAAGAAATACAATTAAAAGTAGCTGTAATTTGCGGTTTCAAAGAAGAAGTACAAGTAGCTGTAGTTTGTCGTTTCAAAGAAGAAAGAAATTGAAACATCAAGGTGGGAGTTTCTTTAAGGGTGTGAACCCACGAATTTATAGTCTCTCATCTTCACTTCTGTCGCTACCTTCGTGTTAATTCCGCCATTTATGTCATGGATGATGTTAGAACCCAATAAAGTTTAGATTAATGCTAATATACGACAAGAAACAAATTAATGATTTAATTTTTTTTTAACTTAATTTAGTGAAGGTAATGCTAATATATAATAGCTGATGTATATAAATAAACACCGAAAGTACATTGGAATTTTTGCCTTAAGTCAAAACGAGGTCGAAGTTACTTGGTCCTCAAGAAAGCATCTCAGATACAGATCCATCGACGTGTCTTTGATGTTAGAATTACTAGGAAATAGTTATATTTAATTGAGAGGGCAAGACTCCATTTTGATAGTGAACTCAAAGAGTTGGAATTCTGGTAGGACACTGAGTTATTTTTTGAAAAATAATCTCTATTAAGAAAGAAATATGATTTCTTGACTTTACCAGATTAAGTTTAATAGTTTGAGTAAGATTATGAATCTCAGCAGAAGAGGAAATAGAATATGATTATGATTTCCTATTTATGGCTTGTTGCAAGCTAATGGGCTGAAACCCAGTTTAGCTTAACTTATAGGATAACACAACTCATAGAGTAGGTAGTTGATAAGGTGATTTTAAGCGTAGACCCAATCAAGATTAGGTTGAGGCCTTGGGCCGTGATATGTTTATTTCGTTATTGGGCCTCGTTAGGCTCAAGACGATTTTTGACCCTAACAGTTAGCCTCACACTCTCTAAGTTAAAGAGTATTTAGCTTAGAGAGTAGATTTAATCGAATGAGTGCAGACTGAGTGGATTAGTTATAGCTGCTCGTTAGGTCGGATGGACCGTTGTGTGGATTGGGTCGATAACTTGTCGATTTGAGGTGCAAGTCCTTCAATTGGTTTAGGCCAATTGAATGTGTAAATCTATAAATCGGTCTGGGCCGATCTAAGGTGTAAACTATAAATTGGTTTGGGCCGATTGAAAGTGTTAATTTATAAATCAGTCTGGACCGATTGAAGGTGTAAATCAATAAATTAGTCTGGGCCGATTGAAGGTGAAAATCTATAAATCGGTCTGAGCCAATTGAAGGCGTAAATTTATAAATCGGTCTAGGCCGATTGAAAGTGTAAATCAATAAATCGGTCTGGACCGATTGAAGGCGTAAATCTACAAATCGGTCTGGGCCGATTGAAGGCATAAATCAATAAATCGTTCTGGGCCGATTGAAGGTGTAAATTAATAAATCGGTCTGGGCCGATTGAAGGCATAAATCAATAAATCAGTCTGGGCCGATTGAAGGCGTAAATCTATAAATCGGTCTAAGCCGATTAAAGGCGTAAATCAATAAATTGGTATAGGCCGATTGAAGGCGTAAATCTATAAATTGGTTTGGGTCGATTGAAGACGTAAATCAATACATCGGCTTGGGCCGATTGAAGGTGATCACAGTAGACGATTTAAAACAACTTCATATGGTATCCCGCATGGTCAGTGGCGGATCTAGGATTTTTGTCCAGGGGGGCCTCCGCGGCTCTGCCATTATTTGCCAAATAACTAGTAAAAACTTTAAAAAATCACCAAACCTTAATAAAAAAATAATACAATATTAAGAACCTCAGAAAAAATAATATACAATAACACAATATTTTTTTACTTGAATAAATCTATAAAAAGCAAAATTTTGAGTAAAAGTGTTAAGTAAACCTTGAATAAAATCTTCTTTTAATATTTTTATTTTTGGCTTTCAAAGATTATAATATAAATTTTCATAACGTTGATCAAACCTAGTCTAATTAAGCTAAAGTCAACCAAAACTTAAATCAAGTCAACGTTACGTTGACTTTTAATATGAATTAATAAAAGATGAGAAATTTTTTTAGTATAAACATAGATAGTAACTCAAATTTCTTTAATAATTTTGAACAACTGAACAGTGACGTTTACAATGTAGGAAAGTGGTGGGTGAAGGGTGAAGAAAAATATAGTTAAGGTTTTAATTTAAGAAAGCAGATTCATTCTTAGACAGAAAATACAAAATAAACTCTCAAGATAAATATCTTTTTTCTTTCAAATTAGAATAAAAACCTCAAAAAGAAAAAAAAAAAAGATTCAATCATTAAATAAACTAAATTGAAATAAACAATACACATACTTAAAATCAATAAAACAGAAAACAGAGCTAATTATGACACCTTGAGTAGTGAAAATTTAACAATTTCAGTCTTTAAAAATTTTAAGAGCGAAGAACATGAGAAAGAGAAAGAGAGAGTAAAGAATTTGGGGATAAAATCATAAAATACAGGTAAAGTTGTGTAGAAAAATACTGGAGAAAGTTTTAAACTTTTAATATGATGTGGGTTTAGAATATATATATATAATAAGTTTTTTTGTAGGCTTAGATATACAGTATGTATAATAATTTTTATTTTTTAAAAATCTAAGGTGGGTCTGGGTTTATATATTAATTAATAATTTTTTATAACCTGTATATTAATAATTTTTTTTTTCAAATATGAGGGTAGGCCTTAAAGGGGCTGAATCCGCCCCTGCACATGGTGTACCGTTATCTACAATAAATTGAATAAGAGAAGTAATGACGTATATGTGCAAGACCAAAGGAAAGATAAAACCCAAATGGAAAATGTCATGTATGTATCAAGTAACAAGTTGTATGGAAAAGTGATGCAAGACCAAGGGAAGAATAATCTTACCTGGAAAAGTAAAATGCCTCACACGCATGTTTTAGGCAACAAGTCGAATGGGGAAGCAATATGTGTGATGTGCATGTGTTATGGACCGAATGAAAAGTGAGCTTTCCCCTTAAAGTGTTGCCACCCATGCTTGCGGAACCAAGTGGAGCGTTTGACAACATGGACGAGGCGACCGATTGAGCCGTGTGGGAAATGGTAGGCCGAGTGAAAAACTCAAAAACCAAGCTATACGAGACTGGAGGACTGAATGGTGAGTTCAAGGCCGAATGGACATGCATTGGGTGCAAGCCACCCGGTTGGTGACATGTGGACGATGGAGATTACTTAAACTGTCTTTTTCCTTCTGAATTTGCAGTTTCCAGTAAAAAGGAAAATTCTTTTGCAAACCATTTCTTCTCTTCACATTTTTCTTTTGGGGTTCTTTTTGACGCAGAGAGTTTTCAAGGATTCTTTTTTCAAACTCGGTAAGAGCAGTCCACTCTCTCCCAGTCACCCATTTCCTTCTTTTCCTTTTTCGTTTTTTCTTGTTTCTTTTTCTCTTCCCTTGGATTTTCGAGGACTTTGAGAAAGGTTTGGAAATAGTCGGTTAAGATTTGGAGGTTTTAGTATAGAACCAATGAAGTTTGGAGTAAATTTTTTTCGGCTTTTGGAGTAGGGGATTAGTTACTGGGATTGTGGAGAAAGATAGGTGAGGAATTGAACATCTCTTCTTGTTTAGAAGAAAACTAAAGTTTATGAAGAATTCAGATTAAGATAATGAAAGAGACATGAGAGAGTAAAGAAGAAGTTAGAAAGGAGAATAAAGGTTGAAGGCTTGTGTCGTGGTGAGTGGATTGAAGGAGATATATAAGGTGGGGATAGAGATAATAAAGAAAAGATATAAGTCAATTAAGCCTCCTAGTTGTTTGAGAGACGGGGTAGAGATATAAGTAAAAAGTATAATGAGTTATTGGAAAGATATTTAGAAGAGCATGAAGTAAAAGCAAAGAGAGATGGCGACAGATAAAAAAATAGAGATCTGATGGATATCCTCTTGGAGGTTTATCATGATGAAAAATCAGAGTTCAAGATTACCAAAACAAACATCAAGGCTTTCCTCACGCACACACAAGCAAGCAGTAAAAATTCTACTCCAATGATGTGGTGTATACTGGTGGAGATCCTGCTGAGCGGACATCACTAGTTTGATCTCAGCTTCCCTAACGCCAGGCACAGTCTAATAAATTTAATGAGGGAGAAGAGACGTGTATCTGGTGCTCAAAGGTTTAAAGCAGGGCATGAACAAATAATAAACAAGGGAGACGATTCTTAATGCTTCAAAATATTTTGTTTCATGTTGAACAAATATAATATGATATAAAACAATTGAAGAAAAGTAAAGAAAAAAAAATTTCTTATCATGATGGAACTTTGATGTCAGTTAGAGGGAGTTATGTGCCTCCTCTCATGTTGCAAGTCGTTTGTGGATGGATGATTGTCGAAGTCCTCACGGTGGGCGCCAAACTGTAGATGCAAAAAATCTACCGTCATGAAAATAGAGTCTGATCCCGTGAGGTTGAGGTTACTGACAATCCGCTAGACCTACACACATGAAAGGACAAGCGTGAAGTTTTCGAAAAACACCGGGGTTGTGTTTGCCGTAGGCACTCTGACGCTCAAGCCAGAAAGGCTGAAAGAGATTATTTGATAAGAATTAAAGAGATTAAGAATTACTAGGAGTCTTGTCGGAGGCTAGGACTACGACGGAGACGTTAGGTTCTTGAGAGCAAGAACTTCAAGAGTAAATAGATGGTTTTTAGTAGTCGAGATTGAATCATGGAAATTACCTACATAATGAGAGGGCAAGCCTATGTTTTTATAGTGAACCTAAGGGGTTGGAATCCTAATAGGACATTAAGTCCTTTTTTGGGAGATAATCCCTATCAAGAAAGAAATATGATTTCTTGACTTTATCAGATTAAGTTTAATAGTTTGAGTAAGATTAGGAATCTTAGCAGAAGAGGAAATAGAATATGATTATGATTTCCTATTTATGAACTGTTTTAGGTTAATGAGCTGAAACCTAGTTTGGTTTAACTTATAGGATAGCCCAACTCATAGAGTAGATAGTTCACAAGATGATTTTAAGCGTAAACCTAATCGGGATTGGGCTGAGGCTTTGGGCCGTGACATGTTTATTTCTTTATTGGGTCTCGTCAGACTCAATACGATTTTTGGCCCTAACATATCTTCTCTTGTTCTTTGACATAGGCATAAAA